GTGTGTGTGTGTGTGTGTGTGTGTGTGTGTGTGTGTGTGTGTGTGTGTGTGTGTGTGTGTGTGTGTGTGTGTGTGTGTGTGTGTGTGTGTGTGTGTGTGTGTGTGTGTGTGTGTGTGTGTACATCCGTATGTGTGTACATATATGCAGTATATTTGATAATTACTAACTTAATATTCATGTGCAGGTAGACCGTTTCAAATTGAACAGAAAGCTTCTATACAATTTTGCAAATATTATTAGTTATTAAGGAATTAAATGAAGAATGTCACCCAATCTTACTGCAGACGATCTTTCTGCACATTTAGTTGTGAATTCTTTAACTAATACCTTAATAATTATTGCATTTATTCTTGATATTCTTTAATTAATACTTTAATAATTATTGTAAAATTTTCAGAACTGTAGAAGACTTTCCTTCAGTTGGATACGCTTTATCTACATAGTACTAGTAGTCACTGATATGTATCATTAGTGATCAAATGTCTTACATGTAATATTTATATATTTCATATACTTATCGTGTTTATATATAATTAAAATATATATTTATAATAAAAATTTATATTTATATATAATTAAAATTAATAAAATTTTGTTATGAGATATACAGTGAAATATGTTGCTTTTGAATGTTTTATAGTTTATATTTCTATTTCATGTATGTATGTGTATATATACATCATATATATATATACATATTGAATAATAATACTTATTCTTGTTTTTATTATTATTATCATTCTTGTTTTCATTATTATTTTCATTATTATTATCATTATCATTTGTTGATGATCAACAGTGCATATGTTATTCTTCAAAATATATATCTTACATTTGATTGGAATATATTTGATCCAAAAACATCGTAGTCTTGCGTCAAAAGCAAGCGTGACTAATGCATGAGCCACGAGGATTGACGTATCCAGTAAGCAAAAATTATTGATAGAATGTTGTTGCAACTATATTCAATAGCGTATAACGTTTCTTAATATGTAATTTTTAACATCGTATTAATATAAATTACAAATGACTTTGACATTTAAAAGGTTTTAAAACATTTTTGTAATGTTCAAAAGGATCATATTGTTTAGTAATATATTTGAAATTTTTGTAAAATATTGAAAGCAAAAAAAAAATGTTGAAAAAATACATTAAATCAATATTTCAAGGTGTTGATCTAATTTTATTTGTTATATGGATATATATTTATATAACGCTTCTAGTTAATCGAAGCACAAAATAAATCGACGGTACAAAATAAATTGTACCGTCATTAATTCGATTTGGTTCTGAGCGAGCTCAGTTGATTCCTTAGGATCCAGTTATATCAGGAAACTGTCTTTATTTTTATCTGCTTTATGAGCAAAGATGTAGGACAAAGTACAAAATTTTCAAATTTTCTATTAAGAAATATCGTTATCGACGATTTGAATTGGGCCTCTTTTTTTCCACGAGATTATCCTGAGACACGCTGTATATAACTCGGATGTACGTAACCTAGTGTTTTAGTTGATGGGATTGAGGGATTAATGAAGAAAAGACTAATATGAAAAATGGAAAAAAAGATAAACAAGTTAATAGATATGATAATAAAATGGAGAATAGGTAAAAGAGCACAGGAAAATCAAAAAGGGCAAGCAGAGGAGGATAAGAAGTAAGATTTAGCTAAAATGTGTAAAAGTAGAAATCAGAGAAAAAAGTACAATTTAAGATATTAGTATGGAACTGCGGAAGATGACAAAACGAGTGGAAATAAATAAAAGACCGGGCGAGTTTTCTAATTCATCGATGGATCCATCGCATGATGCGCAAATACTGTGTTTCACTGCATTTGCGCATCATGCGATGATTCTATCGATGAATTAAATAGCGATGAATTAAAAAATTCGCTCACTATGTGAAAAGAAAATAGATATAAGGTTATGGATTACGGAAACCAAATTGAAGAAAGGACATATGTTAAAAGTAGGATTATATGAGGTTATCAGTCAAGGCAAACAAATAAAGAACGGAGAAAGTTTAGGAAAAGTTATGCTACTAATTAGAAAAGATATAGTGAGAATCAATAATAGAGAGAGAAATCAAAAGTGATAAGAAAAAAATAGAAGTAAAGAGAATAAGAGTTATAGCAAAAGACAGGAAAATTAATGTAACAGAAATATATAAAAAATGTTATAAAGTTATAATGACCCAAGAAGTTTGTGGACAAACTTAGTAAAGAAAAAAGAAAGGGAACAATCATAGATATGAGGGCTGCTCCGTAAGTTTTGCGACTTGGCAATACTGGCGTTGCTAGGTAAAATCTAACCTTACCATCAAAAAGTTTGACAGTTTGGAAGATTTTTTTACTCGAAACGTTTTGTCGTACGGAGGCTACTTGTATTGTTTACAGTGACTTGAAAATTGTGTCTCAGCGAAAAAATGGAATTAACACGAGAATACTTTCGTGCGATGATTTTTTACGACTTTCGACGTGGATTATCGAGACAAGAGTGCATCGATCAACTTGCTTCCACTTTTGGCAATGAAACACCACACAACCCTTATAGAAATATCATACTAAGAATCATTGATAATTACTTATTTTCAGTATTAAAAATATTGGATAATAAATAATTATCAATGATTCTTAGTATGATATTTCTATAAGGAAAGGCCACTATTTGTCGCTGGTTTAATGATTTCAATTGCGGTCGTAGTTCGCTCACCGACGAACCTCGCGAAGGTCGTCCAAAATCAGCTGCTGTGCCAGAAAACATAGATGCTGTGTGTGAATTAATAATGCAAGATCGACATGTGACATACCGTGAGATTCAAGTATCCCTGGGTGTTGGTATGAATTGCATACAAACGATATTGCATGAACATTTGGCCGTAAAAAAAATTTGTTCACGTTGGATCCCGCATAATTTGACAATTGCTCAAAAAAAGGATCGTGTAAATTGGTGCAAAAAAATGCTGAAAAAATTTGATCGAGGTGCGTGAAATGTCGTATATAACCTCTACACAGGTGACGAGTCATGGATCTATGCATATGAGCCGAAAACTAAACAGCAGTCGACTGTGTGGGTCTTTCAAAGTGAACCTAATCCAACAAAAGTTGTTCGCGCTCGAAGCACTTCGAAACAAATGGTCGCCTGTTTTTTCGAAAAAACTGGTCATGTGGCAACAGTACCCTTAGAGAAACGTAGAACGGTCAATTCTGAGTGGTACACAACCATTTGTTTGCCAGAAGTCTTCGGCCAAATAAGGAAAAACAACTCAAGACGACGAATCATTTTTCACCATGACAATGCGAGCTCTCACACATCGGCTCAAACAATCGCCTATTTGACCAGTGAAAACATCGAATTAATGGGTCATCCACCGTACAGTCTTGATTTGGCACTCAATGACTTTTTTTGTTCCCGAACATCAAGAATAAACTGCGTGATCAACGATTTTCGACGCCAGAAGAAGCGGTTGATGCGTTTAAAACACATGTTTTGGAGGTACCACTTTCGGAGTGGCATGGATGCTATAATAAATAGTTTGAGCGAATGCAGAAGTATATTGATCATCATGGAGAATACTTTGAAAAATAATAAAGCCATTTTCAATGACAAATTACCGTGTTTTCCTTACTAGTCGCAAAACTTACGGAGCAGCTCTCGTAATAACACAGAAGATTTTAATGCGCATAACGTCTTATAGAACTGTAGCTACATGGATACAAATGGAACTAGGTTGAGAATGTAATGGTGGAATAAAATAGAATATATGTAGTTAATGAGAGGACGAAGTCCTGGTTGGAAGAAGACCTTCGAAAATAAAATATATTTTATTGTACATCCACACACACTTCTAATAAAAGGTGAATGTACTAAAATGTATGAAATAAATGTGATTGATGATAAAAGGAACTACTTTGTTAAGGTTAATATTTTAGTTTATATCGATTGAACATATGTTTATAGGAAAATGAAATGTTTTCGCCGAGAAGAGATAAATAAAATAATACATTAAAAGGGCTAATTTTGCCTAAAAATTGACGATTTATATTGACATAATATAAGCACTTGTAGATATCTACATATCATGTAAATATCTACATGATTATTTTAATTTATAAAATATGGACTACATTATATATGTACACTTAATATTGAGTTTTTTAATGAATCTTTTATAATATAAAAATAATTAAAGATTAATGCATTATAAGTGTCACCACTAGTGTTCAATATCTGCGAGAATAATACATTAAAGCATATATAAAAATATAATCTCGTCAGGAATATTTGAGTTCAGTGATGTTTGCTTCTTCATGTATTCCAATGATATAATATGTTCGACACTTGCGATGGCTTTTATAAATTAAATTTATCATTTTTGTAGATTACAATTTTTGTACAATTCTTAATCTAGTTTTACTTTACATGTCTAATATAATTAATTTATTTATTTAGTGGTCGCTAAGTCGAACAATTGACTAGACATTATCATTATATCAGTTACTTCTGTTGAAGTTTTTTCTGCCAATGTCATCGCGATAGATATCGCTTTCTGTTCGTGCCGCATTAACGATGTGCAAGCCACGACTGCAGCGCTTAGGAAGAGTATATTTGACTTTGTGTTTGTTGATTCTTTAAATCCCGCATGTTGAGTATATGCTGTTGTCGCTACTCGAAACTGAGTGTACAATTTTTCGTACTGAAAACATACAAAGTAAATTATGCGTGTGAAGCAAAAACCAATGAAAAATTTTTCATACATAATTATGTAAAATTATATAAAATTATATATAATTTTACATAATTACGCATACAATTATATATAATTATATATAATTGTGTATAATTAAATATAATTCTATATGATTATATATAATTATATATGATTATATATAATTATACATAATTATGTATGGAAAAATTTTATATATAATTATGCATGAAAAATTTTTCATTGGGTTGCTATTTTAGCAGCATGTTACGCAGCCCATAAAATAGAGAGTAACGAACCTATCAACGCAACCTATAAAAGCAAAGCTTGCATTGTGTGCTATATATTTTAGATTTTAAAGAACTTTACACATAAATGTCGTAGCCATAACGTACCATAAACTGAGGTCTACAATAGAAGTTGTAGAAATTGACCGGTCGATTATTCTTCTCGTACCTCACTATGATTAATTACTACGACTTACGATTCTACGACTTCTATTGTAGACCCAGCTTGAGAAACACAATACACCGTATGTCGGAGTTGGATGTCGGAACGCAGCCGATGATCCAATGAGGAGAATATATTCTCGAAAAATTAATTATTATATTTATTTGACAACGTTCGGAGTATTTTTGTCAAAATTCATGACAATCGGGCGTGGGTGGTTTTCGGAAGTTCACCCCAAAATAATCATAAAAGTTACATACCATTTTGAAATTTTCTCAATATTTATTCCGCAATTAATTAAAATTTATAAACGAATAAGCTCACGAGAAGCGGTAGGACAGGTTCTATGAGTCCTTGCCGTAGGAGGCAACGTGATGACATCTACGATACAGACATAGCCTTTAGATAGGTCCTACTCTAGAGTATGAATAGTGGGGATGAAACCAAATGAGGGGAATGCGTAGCATAAGGGAAAGAAAGCACTTGTATTGTGAAGGAGAAATTCTGTAAAATAAATAGTTCTGTAAAATAAGTAGTTTATTATAATAAGGTAATAAGGTAAGTTAACCTAAGTTAACTAATAAGGTAATAAGGTAATAAGGTAAGATAATAAGGTAAGTTAACCTAAGTTAATTAATATGTATTTATTTTGCCGTATGCACATCATTACACGTTATTCTGTTCTCATTTATTGATGACCAATGTATGTGTTTCATTCGCTACTAGTCCCCACTAAGCAACTAAAAGAAAACGACAGATCTACCCACAAAGTTATGTTTTACACGGACTTTAAGTCCGTGTTATTTTATAAATGATAAGGAAACCTATTGTCATGTGTATGTGTGTGTGCTGCAACTATAATAATATAAATATATTGATAATGTATAGAAATAACATGCCACTCCTGAGACTCCATATGGATGAGCAGTTTTAAAGCAAAAATAGTCTTTGAAAATCGCTCCAAAAATAATAATAATTTTAACCATTAAGTTAGACAATTATTTTCCTTTTTATTTTGTACGTCTTGTGAGCATAAATATTCTACTGCAAAGAAATTACTGTTCAAAATTATGATACAAAGTGAAAACACACATTATTTGCGTGTATATAGCGAAAACTAAATCGAACAGATTCATGTACCACTTCAGTATTCATATACCACTTTGCAAATTTCGCAATAGTTATTAAAAAATAAAAAAAATATGAGCATCGGAAACGGTAGGATGAACTCTATAGTAAGAAAAAAAGAAAAAGAACTTTATTATTTTGTTCGAAAAGCTTTACCTGCATACAAGCGGATATACATGTTGTGTGTCAAATATTCCATATAGAGTATACTTAGCGTGTATTTTCATTTTCTTTTTTGAGAGGTAATTATAGGAAATATATTGAAATCGTACCTGTAAAAAGGCTATGTCCAGTAATATCTGTCCAAGTTCATAGTCTTCTGGTGTATTGCAGTTTACTGCTGCTAATAGAAGCTCAACGCAACTTAATGGTGTCTTGAGGGGTATCTTGAATCCCACAGCTTCAAAAACTTCGAATTCAGAAGCAATTATCATCTCACGTGTGTACGTAGTGTTTTTGTCAAAGGTATTTAGGATGTCTATAACCTACAAAAACAGATGTAACATTTAGTCCAGTAAAATGTACAATATTCTAATCTTTTATGAAATATTGAATAAGTGCAAAAGTTTTGATAGATTTCGTGATAGAAAAATGAACCAAGTAATTTTATTAAATACAATTTATTCATTGTATCCAATAATTTTCGTTGTTTTTATTATCCTTCGTTATCTAACGTTCTGGCAGGATATGTATGCCTCTATTATAAAATGAGATTGGCTTTTTCCCAGACAGCACAATGTCCAAAATCGGGTCATAAGACGTTTTTCAAATATCTTTAAGACATCTTTAAGACAAGTTTATAAGGTATTGTCTTAAACATGTTTTAAAGACTTCCTAAAGACGTCTTATGACTCGATTTTGGACAATTATGCTGTTTGAATCGTCTAAGAATGAAGGAGCTTAAAAACAATTATGTAAATCGTAAAATAGAGGGAATTTTCATACGAAATTTATACGTTATAATTACATCCAAATGTGGATTCTATCTATATTTATTTTCAATGTTACTTTCAGACAACTAAATTGACAAATCAAATTAATTCCTATTTACAGCAGGGCTGCGTTCCAAAACTCTACTCGACGGATAGTGTAATATTTAATTGACCAATCAGAACTAATATTTCTTTATCATGATTGGTTAGTTGAATGTTACTCTACTCGCCGAGTAGAGATAAGTATAGATTAAGTAGATTGTAGTTTAGATTAAGTTTAAATTAAGTAGAGTTTAGATTAAGTATAGATTGTAAGGAAAAATGTACAATTAGTTTATGTAATCCTAAGAGGAAGCAATAAAGTTAAGTATATGATTATATATAATTATATATAATTATGAATGGACGAATTTTATATATAATTATGCATGCAAATTTTTTTATTAGGTATCTTTGAAAAATTCATCAAAACTTCTGTATTTACTCGCACAATACATTATTTTATATACCTCCGATATTGGTAATTTAGCGTAAGCAGACTCCATTTTACAAGCTAATTGGAAGCATGACATGAGAGATAATTTTGCTTTACTGGCCATGCTATTGCTAATTTTATCAAATTGTTGATCTAGTTGATTATTGGTAGTAATTTCCGTCTCAAAACGTTGTCGGAAATGTTTGTGCATATAATCGTCATATAAAATAATGGCCATATATTTTGCTTGGGATGATACTTCCATAAGTTCTCCTATTTTAAAAGCTGCCTCGACCATGGATTGTTGGATCACTGATAATAATTTAAAATAGTTATTAATGTATTGTGGTAATTGTTACTTAAATATTATGTATTTAATTGATATTGACTTAGTTTATTTTAGATATATTTTATTTACTTTGAAATTTTAAGGCCATGCCATTTTTATCAATGGATTGTTCATCCTTCAACACTTCCTGTAGATGACCTATCCAATCATCAAGTAGCAGTCCTAGTATTAATAAATATTTATATGTTACATTGAATATAGAATATATTGAATATAATGATTATCATTAATCATTAAAAATAATTATCAGGTAATTATGCATTTTAATGGAGCAACCTTCAATGATCTTGATCTCGAATAAATGACATATCTCGAATAAAAATGTATCTAGTAGAGTAGATTTCAAGACTAGTAGCTAGATAGTAATGACTAGATAAATTTTCTAGCCAGTCACTAGCTCGTAAATGGCTAAATATTCCTACTGGCTAAATATTCTTATGAATGCTGGATAATGGAGTTATGCAGTTTTGTAATACTGAAGAATTCATAAAACTATATAAGAAAGTTTTATAACACTTTACAAAAAATCACGATAATTTTTAAGACATTAATTATACAAAATTAAAGTAAATGTATAATGTGATGTAATGACATGAGCTTTTTCGGCAAAATTTTCCAAGATATTTGAGTCTATTGATAATTTTCTGGCAATTACGAATGGTACGTAATACTAGATAGTGAACTTCAACATTACGAGATTGCACATTTTCACTATCCAGCATAAACATAAACGATGGAAAATATACTGGTATGTCATCGGTAAGCTAAGCTTAAAAAGCGTGAAACATTTTAATATGTGAACATTTTAAAATAGATTCTAAATTTATAAATATGTATCTTGTATCATTATTTTTCCAACTGCAGTTTTCGTGCCAAAAAGTTCCTATGTACATTCTCTTTCCTATATACGTCTTTCTTTTACATTTTTCCTTTTTATCGTATCTTAACCTATTTGTATCTTAACCTACTCCTTTTTCCTCATTGCCTTATATATCTTCTTTATCCTACGTGTATCTTAACCTATACTGGCAAATTCCTTTCCTTTTTGGATTTTCTTATTCTTAGATTTCTTATCCTACACCCTCGGAGGTTTTGCCAAACCTACCGAGTGCGAGCGTACGAAAAATTTTCCTTTCCTCTAGACCTTTAGCGTGGTAGATTAATATATAATCCGCCGTGCTACGCTTGCATTCTAATTTATAAATATGTATGTTATTTTTACAAATGTATTTATTTATCTGTGAAATAAATATTTTCTCTGCATTTTATTTCATATATTTCTACTCTCAAAATTTTTTGAAAATGAAAGGAAAATGAATTTTCCTTGAAAAATAGAGCGATAACCGGGTTATTTAAATTCGGATTATTTTTTACTTTTATAAAGAGGTTCCATTGATTTAAAGACCCAAATAGCACAGAGAATTAAAAAAGAATTAAAAAAGAATTGAATCGTATGTCATCAATTCTGGGTTCATTTTCAGATGCAAAAAGAATTCTTCAAAATTTGGCGAATTTCCATGAAACTTGGTTTATAGAAGAAGTTTTTCGGGTTGCTAAAAACAAATTTGGAGTAAAAATTAAAAAACTTAGAAAAATTAAGAAATGGTGAATTCAATATGGTGGATCAAAATGTTAAAAATTCCAAATCATTGGTCGATTTTTCTTATATTCGGTATTGCAGGGTTTCTCACATATTCACCAGCTAAATGCGGAGGTAGAAATATTATTATTTCGATTATTTCGCTATATTAAATTAAACGGAATGATATAAAATAGCATCATAATAAAATTGTTAAGAACTTGTTACGTACAATTAAGTGCCTATTATCAATTTCAAAAAGGTCTTCAAAATGGATTTACCATCAAAAATTTTTAAATTTTTATTTCAAATTTGTATTCAGCGATCCTTGAAACCCTCTAGTGCCAAGTTTTGTGCAGATCTGCCAATTTATTTAACTATATATTTATATATAACTATTTATTTATATATAAATTATTTAGTTATTGCATTTTTTGTCAGTACGTGTACATACAGACGTACTCCACAGTTTGAGCCCACTTAGTCGAGTACGTCTATAAACGTATATATAGACGTATTCCACATTGAAGGGGTTAATAAAAGAAATATTTAACTCAATATAAAGAAATAAAACTAAAGATTCAATAAAAACTTTTGTAATTATTGAATCTAGCATGATATTTGACAGTATACAAATATTTCTTAGGAAATATCAAAATAGATTCAAAGTACTTACCGGTATAAGATGCATCGAAATCTATACTCATTTTGACTGAGCTAGAGTAGTGAATAAACCTTGAATTTGATCCTCACCACCATAGGAGCTGAAAAACTTTGTAGATCCTTTCAGCTGATTTTTATTCCTATACAAAAAAAGATTTAAATATTAGAGTTACAGAAATTTTTTTTATGAACTACAATTGAGATAAATCTAATAAAAATTAAGTTAGATCAACAATACAACTTATAAATTTGAACTAAAAAATTTTGACAAAAGTAAAGCCCGTGTCACGCTATGGTTTGGAGATGAAAGATTGCGGATTGAAGATTAGATTTTGACGAGTCAAGGAATTTTTTGGTCTTTGCCTACTTATTTTTCGTATGACAAGTTTGTCGGATATATTAAGTGACTACAAATAGAGAATTTCTAGAGTAAAAAAAGGGAAAAGGAGGAATTTGAAAAATATCCTATCCGACAGCCGAACAATACTCGTTATACGATAAATGAAAAAAAGTTTAAATTCAAAGAAATTAAACGCAGCTATATGTATAATATAGTTGGCGCCCTTGAGTACTCAACAAGAGCTATACACTGAGAAAAAAATATAGTTGCCTTTGGCGTCAACTATATATATGCCCTTTTAACCACAATTTGATTTTGACAGTTTTGATTTTAACCACAAAAATAATTAGAAGAACCATTGTTTTAGTAAATGTTATTAGAAAGATGGTTCTTCTAATTATTTTTCTGGTTAAAATCACAAAAAAGTATAGTTGAAGCCGAAAACAACTATATTTTTCTCTCGGTGTAGACTGCGTTTTGCATACTTTTGTGTCCATATTCTGCAGTTCATATTCTGAATTCTCTTTTATCGTTGAAATCATCTTTAGAAATGGTTTTTAAGCCTTCTAATTGGCCTTGATAAGTCATTTTTAGAAACCAGAGTCATTCTATCTTTATTGTTTATTATCAGAGTCCGTATCTCAACAATATTTCTTTTCTTTCAAATGCCTACTAGCTGTCGAGCGTTGCAAGCTGTATCATTTGCACCAATTTAGCAGATAGCGTAAACTGCATTCCTATATTCACTCTCAGCATTGAAAACTTATCGTTCATGTTGCATATACACTCGATCAGCTACGCGCCCAGTTAGAACCATAACGTTGATTCAAGGTTAATTCGACGTCGAAATGATCGATGAACCGTTGAATCAATGTTGATTCAACACTCATTGATGTCGAATCAACCTTGAATCAACATGTGGTTCTGACTGGGAGTTTAATGGGTAACGTTTTGAACGCACAACACACACACACACACACACACAACACCACTACACTAGTACTAAAGGAGCGTCTCAAATATCAAACAGCGATTTGTTGAAAACGCCTGAGAAACGCGTCATCTCCGGAGATGTAGTACTTTTATATCAATTCTATATTCCTTCAAAAGTTCGGCAAAATCGATGTCGCGGTGGGTCTATGCTTATTATGAGTCGTGGTCGCGATCATGGATGTTATTTGAGAAACATCTTATCGGCATTATTCAGCATTAACACAGCATTTTATCTCTGTTGTATATATTTCGCCGAAATAGCTTTAATATTTGTTCCACTAGCATCACTCGAAAAAAGTTAAAGCTATTTCGGTGGAGTATGTACAGTCTAAAAGAATGATAAAGAATGGTGCAGTGGCGTGGATAGCACGCTCCTCAAACGCATTCATGGTCATAGCCACGATTTACTCAAGGTGCACGGACCTTGAGCGAAGCGAATCACAGATTTTGCCGAATTTTTGCAGCAATATAGAATTGATATAGAAGTATTATTTACTATCGGGGGATGGCACATCTCTCAGGCATTTTCAAGAATTTCATTATGAATTTTCTTTAGGAGTCACAAAGCTACGATCAGAAATAGATATTGCAATCCTTCACAGTTTCGATGAGCGAAATTTTCTAAGTTCCTTAGAGCTAAAAATTCTTTTGGAATTTCGGAATTTCAAGATACTTCCTACTCTAAGAGTTATATTAATTTTCCTCAAGAATTTAAGCTTTAAAATTGAATATAAAAATTATAGTGCTTTGAAATTACACAATCGTGAAGTTGATTGTTTCTCCTTTAATTTTATTAAACATTTTTTTTCGGATTTTTGACGTTTTGTTGAAAATTCTAATAACTCCGTCCCCTCTAAAAAATTCTATTGGTTACGCTCATGAATTAAAGCCTTGAAGCTTAATGTGAAAAAGTTATGGCACTTTAGAGTTTCACGATTGTGATGTCCTCTCCCCCCCTCTCCGTACTTCTATTTTGTGTTTCGATCATCGATAGAACTTTTTTTTTATATCGATGAAGCCACTCTAGAATTATTCTTCGAAGGTAATTGAAACTATGTTTATTTTTTTTAAATTTTGGAAAGGTGGGACTAATTTCACAGACGCGTCCTAAGCGAATCTAGAAAAAGTGTATATATATAAACCGTCTTAGCGCCGACTGTACATTTATTTTAGAGACCCTTGTTTTAGAAATAATCAGAGTCTTGATATCATTGACCTTCTCTTTAATTTAATCATTACAGTATTCAACAATGGTATCTATATCATTACGCTATTTAGATAGCGTATAGATAGATAGCGATAGATAGATAATGATTCGATATTAGACATTTTAAGTATTCTTTTAAATGCAGTAAGACTACACAGAGAGAACGATTTATTAAATCAAATAAATATTTCTTTGGAAAAGTCCGAACAAATTATTTGGTTGACACAACAAAAATATTTCTTTGGAACTAAGCCGCAAATAAATATTTTTGTTGCTTCAAACAAAATTTTGTTCGATCAATCGAAAAATTCGTTTGGACTATTCCAAAGAAGCATTTATTTGATTCAACCAAATCGTTCTCTCTGTGTAATCCTGTTTCATCTAATAGATATCGCGTATTGCAACTTCCTCTTGACACCCTATGTACATATGTATTAGAATGGATAAAAAATTTTCATCTGATTTATTAGATTAGCCAGAAAGTTGGTTCTGGTCCTTTTGTAGTAATTAAAAATCATAAATTAAATATTAAGTTGCAACTTGAATCAATAATGTATGTACTTTTTTTGGCAATGTCGAATTATTTTCTAAGTAACTTTATTATTTCGTCAGTGTAAAATTGGGTCAGTGTAAAATTGGGTTTGTTTTTCATTAAAGAATTTACTCAGGTGAATTTTAATCTCCAAAGATTTAAATTCTTTACTGGTCAAAAGGTTTTGTCCCTTTCCAAACCTTAAAATTTTTATTTGAAAGAATTTTTTAAAAACATCATCTTTCCAAGTAAATCCGGGATCCGACTTTTTCTAAACACTTTTCATAGCTGTTATACAGGGTGTCTGACTCGTGCCGTACCAGAGCTAATAAGCTGACTTATTCCAGTAGCTGGAATAAGTCAGAGTAAGTAATGGAATCGATGTCTTTTTTTAAACAACCATATAAAATTTCGAGTTATTAACCCTTATTATGCACACTTCAGTAGAATCACATAATGGGCATACTGGTCTTTCGCGACTCCAGCTACAAAAGTGTTTGCTGCAATAAAACTATTCGCTTTTTGATTTGAAAATTCCAGGATATATATCAAACTTTTTATATGACGGAATAATTTTTCTAGACGAAATTTGATTTTAAATGAAGAAAAAAATTGGAAAGCACAAAAAACGCGAAAAATGACTTGATTTGCTCCAAAAATCATAATTGATATAATTTTTAGTATTTCAAGGTAAAATTTGAAGAAACTACTCACAAGACATATCTTTTTAAGAAAAAAATTAGTACAATAGCAAGATTTTCAAAAAAGGTATTTATTTTGAAGATTGAAATTAGGATTTTTGTGAAAAAAGCAAATAGTTTTTTCAAAATATATAGATCTACTTTATTTTATTTTTTATTTTATTTTATAGGTTTACTTTATTTATTTTATTTATTTTTTTCTGGGGTCTATTTGACTTAACAGTATACAGTAAGGTTAAATAAAGTAGATGGGCTAATCGTAGAGCGTGGTGACGAGGTAGACAGGACATACGGCTCGTCGCGGCCAGCGAAGAAAATGGACGATTGTGAATTTATGTAGTTATTTAAAAAAAGATACCGATATCACCACTCACCCCGACCTATTCTTCTTATATATTAGCTCTGGTACAGTATGAGTCAGACACCTTGTATACAAAGTGAGAAAAGAATGTCGATGTAATATTATTACATGTTAACATGTAATAAACGCGTTACTAAATGCAACAACATGATTGCTTATACTTAGATGACGAAATTTCAAGAACAAAACGGTCAACGACTGTAGCAACGTTGTCAGCTTCATGACAAAAACTTTTTAACGGATTACATATCTGCGTAAACGTATTGCCATTAATTTGCCGTTATTTGAATTAGAATTCACGTGAGTTCAATGCGATACATATAATGCTGTCTCACCTTGTTCTTAGTTTATTTAACCCTTCGTATACATACTGAGTGGTTACCATCTATAATAAATACTACTTATAACAAATATACAACAAACATTTAATAATACCTGTTGTGCATAAGTTTACTCAAAATGCTCAATCATATTTGGCTATCAGGGATAACTGCCGTTCTCGGACGAGCGAATCGTATGCCAATGATTCTTGCGCTGTACGTTGAAATAAAAGTTACAGGATATCTTAGACCGCTATTCTCAAATTTTGCAAGAGTAAAATTGATTAAGGTGAGCAAGAAGGTCTCATACCGTTTTGCGATATTCACAATAGTTTTCAAAGAAATTAATCTTGGAGAATCGAATGAAAAGGACGGAACGCTCGATTCACTGAAGTCGCTTGAGCTGTAGTGCAGTTCAGATGATTAAGAACTGATGACGTCGCGCGGCGAAGGGAAGAACAAGTGCCGCTGCTCATCTTTGCATCGGGAGCGTCCGATCGTATCACGGTACGATTGGACACCACCAACCGGTGCAAAGAATGATCTAGTGAATTACCAGATCGAACCAATCATTATAATCTATGTCCAATCGTACTGTGGTCAATCGCGTCCAACCCGTTTGCATCGCTGCTCATACATCTCGGCGCGGTTATTCGTTATGATTATATTTAGAAAATCATTTTATAAGATAGCAAAAACTGCTTACATTAAAATTGTAATAAAATTCTGTGATTAAAAAAAGTAGAAAGGAAGAAAGCGATAGAAAGCTAGTGACGCGACCTTGGCGCGATGCAACGTGACGAAAGAGCAGCAATACGATTATAATGTAAGTGTAAGCTCGGGATTATAACAAAAGGATATATGACCTAACGGATTATTTATGCGGATGTAAAATGGACATAAAATGTACGTCCATAGGACGTCCTGTGCTATCTGGGTAGATATCTACATGGTTATTTTAATTTGTAAAATATGGACTACATTGTATATGTATACTTAATATTGAGTTTCTTAATGTATTTCTTATAATATAAAAAAAACTTTAACTTAAAATAACTATAACTATTAACTATATTAAATAACTATAATTTATAATATAAAAAGTCCATAACTATATTAAATAACTATAACTTATAATATAAAAATGAATTTCTTATAATATAAAAATAGACTATTTCTATTTATATAGATAGAATATTTCTTATAATATAATATAACAAAGATTAATGCATCATAAGTGCCATCACTAGTGTTCAATATCTGCGAGCACAAAGTAAGAAGAATATATTAAGACATATATAAGAGTATAATTACGTCAAAAATATTCGAGTTTAGTGATGTTTGCTTCTTTATAAATTCCAATGATATAACATATCCAACACTTGCGTTGGCTCTTATAAGTTAAATATTTACAATTTTTGTAGATTACAATTTTTAATCTAGTTTTACTTTACATGCTTCATATAATTAATTAATTAATTATGGTTATTATTTCGCTATTTCGTACAACTGATCAGACATCAACATTATAAATATTGCTTCTAATGAAGTTTTTTCTGCCAATGTTATCGCGACAGATATCGAATTCTGTTGGTGCCGAAAGAACGATGTGCAAGCTACGACTGCAGCGCTTACCAAGAGTGTATTTGATTTCAAGTATGCTGGTCTGTTAAATTTCGCCTCTTTAAATGGTAATGTCGCTTTTTGAAACCAAGTGTACAATTTTTCATGCTGAAAACATACAAAGTAAATTATGCGTACGAAGCTAAAACCAATGAAACATTTTTTATATATAATTATGTAAAATTATATAAAATTATATATAATTTTACATTATTATGTATAATTACGTATAAAATTTGTCAATACATGTTAATACACGTTATTTATATATAATCATGTATAATTATATACATAATTTTATATATAATTTTACATAATTACGCATACAATTATATGTAATTATACATATAATTATATATAATTGTGTATAATTCCCAGGTAGCACAAAATATTTATACGATATTTATTTAAATATTTTATGAATATTTATCAAAATATTTCATATATATTTGTATGACCTTAAATTCAATAGATCATAAATATTTATCATAAATATTATAAAAATATTTATAAAAATATAAACATTTTTCTCTCTTCCTGAATTTTTCTTAAATATTACAATTTTATTGTTTCACAAGCTACTTAATTCAATTTAAATTGTACCTTGAAAAATTTGCTTCTCATGCTAGAATTCGAACTTAAGACCTCTGCGCTTCTTGAGTCGTTTACTTTACATACTGCGCTACTGTTACTTTGACTGAGAGAGCTTTATATTGTATACATATGGTATATACATGTACGAAAACAAATGATTTATTTAAAAGTAGCGAATAGATTCTTTTATATGTAAAAAATATGTTTAGAAAGTATATTTAAAAAATATTTACTTATTTTAAAAGTAAATAAAATACAAATAAGCCATATTGTAAATTTAAATTAATAGTTTTCTGATAATAAAAGAAACTTTAATTTGAAACACAAAAAAGATACTTTTATTATTAGAAAATAATTTATTTAGATTTATAAAATGATTTACTTATATTTCATTACTTTTAAATTAACTTGTATTTCATTTATTTTTAAAACAAGCAAATATTTATTTAAACACAGTTTTTACATTTAAAAAAACTAATTTTCATTTTGTAAGGAAACCATTTGTTTATTTTTATATATAAATACTAAAAAAAATCAAAAAAATTTTTTTATCTAGAAATTCATAATTGTACAGCTTATCTTATAAATAAAAAAAATATTACTTTATATTTATTACATGTCTTCTAAAATCTAACAAATATTTTTTTAACTTAAGAAATTACATTTAACAAAATATATTTCTTCAATTTAAAGAATTTTTTCAGTTTATATTAACAATTTAAATTTCGATTTATATATCTTTATATACCTAAAATATTTATAAAATATTTATATAATATTTTAAAAAAATAATTCGACATAAATATTTATGAATCTTTATCATAATTATTGTGTGCTGTCTGGGTGAAATAGGAAACAAGAACATGTACGTTTGCTGTCTGGGTAGGAGGAAACGTGATGACATCTACGGTATAGACATAGCCTTCTGGGTCCTACTCTAAAGTATGAATAATGGGAATAAAACCAAATGAGGGAAATGCATAGAATAAGGGGAAGAAAGCACTTGTATTGTGAAGGAAAAATTCTGTGAAATAAGTAGTCTATTGTAATAAGGTAATAATTATCCTAAGTTAATTAATATGTATTTATTTTGCCGTATGCACACCATTACACGTTATTCTATCCTCATCTATTGATAACCAATGTGTGTGTTTCATTCGCTACTAATTTTCATCAAGCAACTAAAAGAAAACGACAGGTCTACTCACAAGGCTATGTCTGCACCGTAGATGTTGCCACGCTGTCTCCTAGGGGCCAGTTTATCTATATAAGCAGTCTGTTATATCTATGCAAAATTCATTATGTAAATATATGAAATATATTTAACAAAAATGGCCGTCACTTTTTGCCTCAACTGTAACTAGGAAGTTAGCAGTCTAGCAGTATATAGAATTCTGTGATTGCAATCGAGTTTCTCGAAGATGGCAACTTTATGATTTAAAAATACTCTTAACGTGTTTTGCTAATTAGCATGTGCTGTATGTGTTCTCATTATTCTTTTATGGACAAATTACCAATATATTTATAATTGCACAAATCTTTTTTAATGTTATATTTTCTGTTGTCAGTCAAGTTGAAAATTGAAAATCGTTTTTTTGTGTGGAATAGACCTATAAGGAATAGTAGTAAATAAAAAACACATCGGTTTCACATCGGTCACACGGACTTAAAGAACGGTGAGTAAGCTTAGTTTTGGAGTGAGAAAAGTGAAGTTACTATAATGGGAAAGAGGATTCATCTTTCAGCCATCTTGTCGGTGACATTAATATATATATATATATATATATATATATATATATATATATATATATATATATATATATATATATATATA